CCTGCTATCCAGTGGCTCATTAAGCCTGTTTCTGCTACTAAATAACTTCAATTGATCATCAGGGGCCTGGGGGGAGGGGCTGACTAGTCTGAGTCTATCTCCTACTTACCCACAGGCTTAATTTCCTCAGGGAACCGTGTTACTACTTTGGTTTTAATCAAAATATTCACAAGAAGAATATTATTATTTACTTGTTTTGATTCTTCTTTCAGTTAGAGTCCCTTCAGAGTCCTCAGAATTCCATACAAAATCCTTTAAATCTTCCTCCAATGCTACACCACAATAATCAGGTTTAGCACAGCCTGACAGTCTTTGGCCCAGGTGCACGTGCTGCACACCTTACAGAGCCTCCTAACCTTCACCAAGCCAGAGAAGGAGCTGACTAGGGAGATACCTGACGCACGCTGTCAGAGGCTGCAGATCATGTTGCCTCTGCGCCTAGCTATTGTCCACAAAACAGGTGGTATAATAACTTTCTGATTTATTTCTTTAAATTGCTAGTATAACTACAACATAGAATTTTATCTATAACCACAGTAGCATGAGATAAAAGTACTCAACGCTTCTAAGATACTTCGGTTTCAGTGATTTAAATTCTGCATATTTACTTTGCTCTTAAATGAGCTTTTTGGGGTATTTACCTTACAGAAAACCTGAATTAACCAAGACTTTAAGGGCTACAACAGAAAACACAAAAAAAAAAAAAAAATGAAACAGGACTATGAATCAAAAACAAAAGTGATTAATAAATAATACATTAACGTTTTGAAATATAATTTTAGCATTTTCTAATCCAGACAACCACCACTGTATCTGCACCTGTGAACTACAAGTTCTCTCTAACCATATAGCATCAATGTCACTATTCACGAGTGCATAAGCATCAGTCTTGCCAACTTACACTAAACACAACACAGTACATTATCATGAAAGATATGGTTTCTTGATTTTGAAAAAGCATGCAAGGGAAAAATCTCTAGCATTCGAACAGAACCTGGGAGAATTCAAGTAAAATGCTGTCACATTTAATCTTATAAAGATCAACAAATTAATTTTTTTTTTAATGCATGTTTCATGAATGAGAAAAAAATATGTAGGAACTTGCAGCTCTGCAAGTTAAGACTTTGTGATGAGATCTGTAGCATTTACCCTGCCACAGAGTGGAACTAATGCAATTCCATGCAGGTACACACATGCAAGTGAACTCAGCTACCCTCAACAAGGCTATGGACAGAAACCACAACAAAAAAGGACTTCTGGGGAGAGCTGAAGCAGAAAGCCTAACAGTTTTTCAATTTTTCCTTCACTATTTCTGCTATTTGGTTTGAGTCTTATAAAAAAAAAATGCATTTCCCACATAACATTTCCCACATAGAAAAAGAAGCTAAAAAGCTCAAGTATGATGCCAAGACAGAAGTCCTCATCTTAAAACTGCGTCTCTCTCCCAGTCTTATCTTCTTTTCCTTCCAAGAAGCATTTCCTACAGGTAACTTGAAAGCTACCCTCATTTACAAGACTCTAAATGCAATCACAAGGTCAGACTTACAATTTTATCAAGGACTTGTCAGGAGGAATGATGATACCACATTCAGCAAAGCTGACAGTAGGAAGACAAAGCAGCAGAAATGAATTCTGGTGCTCCTTTCTGGTGTTTACTCTCTCTACCATAAAATGGCACATCAAAATTCACAGCATTATAGTCTATTTACAGCCACAGTACAAAACAACTTGCTTGCCTACTGTTCTACATAAATAGATATTTTAAGCACAGCCCTGCAGTTGTTTAGCAATTGTCACAGAAGGTAAACATGAACAAATGGCAGCTATTCCCACTCTCTTCCTAGTTCTGGAACCTCTGCCACGTGAATGTTATTTTTTTCCTTGTTACTAAACCTGACTCCTTCCAACATGTCTTCAAAAGCTGCTACCAGCCCCTTTCATAGCTTCAAGGTCATATACAGGAAAAACGTGAGCATTTCTGAGTTTCAGTATACCTCTAAGGTTTGCTACCTTGGAAGCTGAAATGTAGGACGAGGACCCATTTACACTCTTTTTTTCCTTCTCCCATACAGAAACCAAAAAGAGAACAAAAGCCTGTGGTTTTCCACAGGGATACCAAGTGTTTAAAAGCTTGATTTTTTCATTTCTCTTTTGCCAATTCCATATAACTATTTATTGAGAATGCATGTTTAACATAGCTTCAAGACGGATTCTGTAAATTGCATTTTATGCTTTAAAAAAAACCTACGGAATTTTGATAAATACAAGTCAAATAAAATACAGTAGCTACAAAAATGCCTCTATCCACTTTTGCAACCTCATATCTTTCCAAAACAAAACAAAAGAATGAAACAACAAAAATAAGCTGCATGATTTTTGTTCTTTCATCCAAGCTGCAAAATTATCAAGTCAATAGCAAACATTTGGTAATGTTGAGCATACGATCAAAAAGAGACAGGCTGGGTTCTGTATTTGGCCCGAACACTATAACAGTTTTACAAACAGATCACATCATCAGGACCAAGCAAGGCTCTAATTCTCTGCCTCAGCAGAGAGAAGCAAGAGATACCTATGGTATAGGTGGGGAACCTTTCTCAGCAAGTCAACATTAACCCCACAGGTCTGCAAACAGCTACCACTGCCTTGATTCTATAGATCCAAACCCATTAAGTTTTAGTTGGCTTGAATTCTTTTAATTCAGCCATTGTGCCACAGAAGGTAGACTGCCTGTACCCTAAGCACAGCCCATGGGACAGCTAATTGTGATGTCCTCCAGCAGCACATCACCGCCTGGCAGCACTCACCTGAACTGCACAGCCATGTGCTGAACTGACTCTGAAATGGTCTTCCAGAAGCACGTCCCTAGCACGTACAAGCATCGAATCACAAGTATGGCCAAAGGTGATACAGAATCACAGAGTAGTTAGGGCTGGAAAGGATCTTCTAGTTCCACCCCCCTGCCATGGCCACCTTTCTCTAGACCAGGTTGCTCAAAGCCCTGTCCAACCTGGCCTTCAACACTGCCAGGGATGGGGCAGCCACAGCTTGTCTGGGCAACCTGTGCCAGTGTCTCACCATCCTCATAGTAAAATATTTCTTCCTAATATCTACTCTAATACATACATGCCATATTAGATAAAATCACCCCTAGCTTCAACATTATCCTAGAACTCAAGACCAGAAATAAATATCAGGAGGCACACAATAGGTGCTTGGTATCTATGTTTTGAAACTATCAGAAACGGTTTTTTCTTCTGATCTAGAACCAGGTAATTGAGATTTGAGATGTACTAAAAAGACATTTTGCTATTTCTTTTATTTTCCTCTCGGAAAAATCCTTACCATGGCTATAAAATTGTTACTTTTTTTATAATACAAACAGATGATAAGCTATTAAAAATGCCACCAAGGGCATTAACCAATTGCCTTAAAATTCTTCATGTGACCTTGTTCACGCTGTCCTACAAAGCGGCAGCAGTTGACTTGTGTAATCTTTTTCCATTTTCAGCATCAAACTTCACCCACCACTGAAATGAACCCTTCCGCAGTGCTGATACAGAAATAAACTCTATTACTGAAGCTAAATGAGGATAAATTCTTAACAGTTCAGGCCAGATGAGACAACCTGACTGCAGCTCACTGCATTTTGTGATTCTGCTTCTCCCTGGGCAGTTTTTTAGGGGTTCAAGCTGCACTGCATGACCACTAATTGAGAGTGGTCCCACCATAACCTTGCCAAAATTCGACTCTGTTCCTACCTTCCTTCATGAGGAGCACCCCTCTTTATTCATCACAACTAAGTTCTCAGCTAATACTTTCACGCAGACAACCAGGCCTCACCGCTGTCTGCAAATCATGCATCTAAAGCGTGCAAAAGTTGTGTAAAAATAGATGCAAAGATGCAAATGCAAACAATAGAGACAAAGCGCAACGTCTCAGCTTAATACTTTACTGCTTCCTCAGAGATTACTAACACAGGTTAGAAATCGAGCACCAGTTCCAAATAAACTGGCTTCCCCCGGATCACACGTCCTTTAAAAACTAAAGGCATAATAAGTAACCATTTAATAATTGCCTATGACTCAAAGCACTGAACAAGCTATGCCTTTCAAACAGCTGTCGGGACAACTTCTCCAGCCACCGCCGCAGCTCCCGCACCTTGTCGCCCCCTCGGGACATCACCAGCCCACTTGCTCCCCGCTGCGGGCTTCTATCGAGTCCCGGGCTCCACGGAGGGCAGCAAACCCGTGCCACCCACCGCAGCCAAACCTCCCCACGATAACCCACGGTTGCCCCCCACACCGGTCACAGGGGCCGCCCGGGGAAGGCCGCGCCTCCCCCCTTTGTTCCCCACCGGCCCCACAGGTGAGCGGCGCTGCGCACACACGGCAGGTCGGGCGGCGCGGCCCGGCCCGGCCCGGCCCCGGCAGCGCCCAGGTGCAGACCTGCCTCCCGGCGCCGCCGCCAACCCGGCGCTCCCGGCGGCGACTGCGGAGCGAAACCGCCGCGGGGGGCACCGCGGGGCGGCACCGCCCAGACCCCCACCGGAGGCGCGGCGCGAGGGACGATCCCCGGGAGAGGGCGGGCGGGCGGTGCTGGGGGGGGGGGGGGGCAGGGCCCCTGGGAGCCGGCGAGGTCGTGCCCTCCGCAGAGACTCCCTGCGCTGCGCTGCCCGATTGTCCCAGCGCCGCCGCCGCCGCCACGCTCCCCCGCGGCCGCCGACCTCCTCCTCCCCGCCGCGGCTCCAAGAGACACGGCACTGCCCCTCACCTGCTCCGACGGCTCAGCCAGGCCCGGGCCCCGCGCCAGTCCGCGCTTACTGCCGCGACTGCTCCCGCTCCCCGCCCGCCCCGCGCCGAGTGTCAGCTCCGGGCCACGGCGGCGTCACCGCTCGCCCGTCACGTGCCGGGGGCGGGGCGCGACGGAGGCAGGGGGTGTGGCGGGGAATGGCGGGCGCAGAGGGCACCGAGCCCCGCCGGTTCGGCCCGCCCCGAGCTGCTCCCGCCGCGGGCGGCGTACCAGGGGCTGGGGTTGCTTAGCGGCCCCTGAGGCTGCTATGGGAAAAGCATCGGCGGGTGGCTGAGCCCCGGCCCCTCGCCGGCCCCAGAGCTGAGTTTTGGGGCCCCAGGCAGCGCTGGGCATGGCTGGGGCCGGCGGCTGGTGCTGCCGGCCTCTCACCGGAACAAGAGCTCAAGGGGCGGCTAGTGCGGGTCCTGGCCCCCGGAGAGCGGGTTGCTCATAATTTCAGGTCGGTGAGCGTGACCCGGGTTAGTCGTGTGTTGTGCTGTCCGTCTTTGTTAGAGCCTGCTAAAGTAATCCAGTGCCAGAGTGATAAGATCACTTTCTAATTCACATGGTAATGTAGAATATCTAGGCCTTTCCACCGTAATAAAAAGAGCAGATGGAAAGCAAAAACCACAGCCCTTTCTCGTTGCAGACGGGGCTTTGAGTGTTGAATAGTTCAAAACTGAAGAAACCACAATTCCTAAATAGGCTGACCAAAAAGAAACAGTAAGATACAGCCCCATTCGGCTGTTCTGAGTTAATTTGCTTGCTATCTCATATTAGTAAAAGTAGCCAAGCATCCAGTTTGGGCATACTTATGTGGCCTTCACAGCATTTCCACATTGTAAGTAATCTTATCCTTCTCTTTTAAAAAGCAATAAAGGGATCTAGTCCTCATAGTTGCAGAGATAACTTTGAAAGCATGAACTGACTGTAACTGATACAGTGGTATCTGAATGAATCTGCAAACATCCTGACACAATGGCACTGAGATGTGTAAACTGTCCATGCTCCATTAATCTAATCAAGACTAATGTTGGCCCTAACTCTTTCTTTGATTATTTTAACACACAGAAGGAACAAGACCCTAAAATCCTCAAGATGTAGGAAGAACAGGTTTGCTGAAGGAAAAGAAAGGCAATGGAAAGAGACCTGAGGAGTGCAAGGAACAGAAAGAGAGAAACAAAACTGAGACTCTATTTGAGGAAGGGATAAAAATTGATAGATGCTGAACACGTGGACACATTCATATTGAATGATATTTCCAACATCAATATTTCCTTGATGGCTTGTATTAGGAGGCATGTGACAACATGCAAGACAAGTAGTAAACACTGCAAATGTCTTAAAGCTTTGCTTCGGTGTGTCTTAGACTGAATAGGTTGTGAAGATATCCCCTCAACACCAAGATAGTTAGACCTTGGGCTGTCTGGCCACAAAACATCATTATTAAAATTCTGTTGATGTTGTGAGGCTGATACCCCTGTCACACCTTTGTGTTCAGCAGCTTTTCACAGTCAGGAAAAACAGACCAGAGGCTAGTATTTCTGTTGTAAGCAAATTCTCTATAGAGCTCTCCACTATTTATCATTGAAAGGCAAAAGAAACGTGTAAAAGGACAGTAGTTTTATAGTCATTATTTTGTAAATTATATGTATGGGGAAAAGATAAATTGAGGGTATGGTTTTTGTCTAACAGGATTTAGCTCTATGCCCGATTTTGTGGTAGAAAATAGTATATTTGGGACACTTGGTTATTTCTAAGCAAGCTGTCTACATTTTACCTACTGACACGCCTGAGGTATACATAAAACTATCTTAAAAATCAGTCATAGTAACCACACTGTAATTATCCTTCCTCACTGCCAAAGCTTCACTGGAGTGCTCTAGGACATGGCATTAGTGATTCAGACTGAGGCACTCTTCCTTCTGAGTCAGTGTTGAACCAATGGGCCCACATAATATCAGCATGCATAATAGAGATGTAGGTGCCAGAAGATATGTAATGTTGAGTCCCTGCCAAAATGCACTCATTACAAATAAACTGTCCAGCCCCAGTTGCAGTTTTAGCATCTGTTGCGTATTCTGCCTGTGGAGGATTTCTCCACCATTTCACTGGAGTAGAAAGTGCTAGAGTTCAGAACCCTTATTCACCATGACTTGGTTTTCCTGGAGATGTAGGATGGCTGTCACAGTGACAACTCAGATGGGACCATACGTTACATGGAAAGATCTAGTACATGTAGTAACCTCACAAATTTCATGTTGAAAGAATTGCCAACTACAATTGCTTTATGTGGTATTTGTGAACTATGGTAGAAACTACAGGACTCTTAAGTCATGTATCTATTGTGTTTGAACGCTTTATATCATAACTCACATGCACACACGCATCAGTCTCTGTAAGCTGATTCCTTACAAAAAGTCAGTGTTTGGACTGTGTCCGTCTGTCCTGTTACGCCTAACATTCAAAACCTTTGTCCAGATTTAACTATGTTTGCCAAAAGGGAGTTGTCTCCAAGTAATTGCGTTCCCACAAGTTTTCTGAAAGCAGGCAGCTGTATAGAGGGGCAGGAAAAGCCACTTAAGAAACTGACAGTGAAAATGACACGGTTGTGGAGAAAAGGTTGACCCAATACTTACAGTCTGTCAGAAAACACAAACCCATGGAAAACAAGTTTCATAGTTCTGAAAATCCAGTCTTGGAGGAATCCATTTTTGGTGTATGAATTAGACATAGAAAGGATGCTTCCTTTCTGTAGATACAAAGTGCTGAAATACCAAGGTCATGGGTATAAACTCTGAGCCTATTAAATTTGAATGACAAACTCCTATTTTATTTTTTTTGCAATTTTTTTTTTCCAAGTCCTCTATTTCAAACCTCTACAAGTTCAGCTGTCCCTTCTTTTGTGCCTCAATTGCAGTAATTCTAGATGCACGTCATGTTTTAATTTAATTTGAAATGTGTATCTGGGCTTGGACATTGCTGTCTTGTTACTCATAATACCAGGACTGATGTTAGGTAACCGACAGAAATGTGCTGGTTAAAGCGGGATCGGCATTAAATCTGGGTTGTTTATTCAGTGTTTGCCGCCGCCGCCCCCCCCCCCCCCTTACCAAACGGACTAATCTCATTATGAGCTGTGTTGATTCTTTCTTTCGGAAATGACTGAGAAGGTAAATACAAAAAGCTCTCTCACATCTCGCAGGCAGATACTGCAGATACCTACCTTGCTCATTTTGCTGTTTCCTTGTGTTTTCACTCCATTATTTCAGAGGCTTTGTCTCTCAGTTTGGTCTTATATAACCTCAGTAGTGATATGCACTAGAGAAACCTAAACTTAGTCAAAGAAATGCACTTAATTAAGCAAATGGTTCTGAAATATTGGTTCTAGAAAATATTTTTGGTTTACTTCAAATACTACTTACAAGTGTATTTTATAAATTGGTTCAACTTGCCTTGATACCTGGCGTATCTCCTGTCTAATCTGCTCCTACTCTCAGTTTTTTGACAGCTTCTAGCCTCTCACCTCGTCTAAAATACTTTTCCCACCTACACATCTAAACACAATCAGTTCCTCCTTTCTGTTCTTTCTCCTACTACAAAAGCACTTTCAGAAAAGTGCAGATACTGTGGGCTTTTTGCATGAACTTGTCAATTTACACCCCATCTCCTGACTCAAGTAACAGATGAGCCACCTTTATTTATATAACTGTGCATTATAAGGCAAGTCAATTGACAAGGGAACAATGAAAATAAAGAACAGAGAAATAGGAACCCAGATTTCTCAGAAGTTCAGAGAACTTCTTTCACCATGGCACTGCAAAGGAATGTTCTCTGCCTTAAGGAGGAACTTTTATTCACAGTTCTGAGAAGATTATTTGGTTTACTGTGACAAAAGCAGAGAGGAATTTGTAAGATTTTTTTATCTTGCCAGCAGATTATTTTTATAAATCCTATTAGCCAGAATGGCCTGCTTTTTTACTCCTCTCTGTTCATTTGCCACATGGTCACTGTGGTGGTGTTCAGTATTTATCTCTCCCTGAGATCATCCAACAGAATCTGTGACAAAAATTCAAATGTGTTTATTGTTTGTATTATCAGTCTCAGTCTGCAGGCAAAGAACCATTTTTCACAACTGTCTGATTGTCAGCATTACTAATGAACAAAGCGAGGTTTGTTTTGGCCCAACTGATCCTTTAATTCTGCTCTTGCCAAGACCAGGCTGACTACTTACCTGTGTAGTTAACCTGTTTATCACTTTTGTCTTCTTAAGCGTAGCATTCCAAACTGTGTCTCTTCTGTGTTGAGCATGAAAATACACCTCTGAGTCACAGCACAGAATTAAAAGTAGAGAAAAGTATTTCTGACAGGATTGCTAAAGCAGACAATCATAGAAGCATAGAATCGTTAGAATGGGGTGAAGGAGGACATTTCTTTGTTCTACCTTGACTTAAGACCTTTGGCTAAGTTAAATCATAGTCAGCTCTGCACTAATCATGTCTTGATCTAGCCATAGTATGAACTAACAAGCAAAATATAGAGAAGGTACAATCAATCCTTTAAATAGTAATATCACTTTCCTGGGATAAACCTATAGTGAAAGACATTGATATTCAAAAAGCACAATGTAAATGTGCATTTATACCTTGGAGAATTAAGGAGAGTCCTGCACCAGTGTCTTTTATTTCTAAGTAGGTTATTTTTTGTCTAATGAAAAGAAGGAATTGTGTTTATGAACCACTGATAAGCTGAATCAAAATAAATATGAAGATATTACAGAGCTGTGCAAAACCAATGAAATAAAACCTTTTATGTTAAATGTTTTATTTGTATTGAAGTCCTTTTTATTATTGCACAAAATTCAGACTTAGAGGAGATACATAAGGGAGTTTCAGGTTCCCCAAATGACACAAGTTCAGAACTCGCTCCAGTGCAAGGCCCTGGCATGGCCCAGCAAGCAGCACACTCGCTTCTGGGTGCTCTGAAACTGGAAGTTCAAACTTGTACTGCACATTGCTAATCCCACAGAGGCTTCTCAAGATCCAGTGAAGTTCCCAGTGGATGGTCAAAGTGGAGTTACATGACGCTGTCCAGTTTATACTGAATGCTGTTTCTGAGGAACAGGAGAAATCCATAGACCGGATGGGATTCAATCTCAGCTTAACAGGCATATTGTAAAGCCAGGGAAGTGTTTTTGATATCTACCAGTCTGTATCTACATCAAAGTTAGGTGTCCAATCTCCCATGAGAATAAGTGGGGTTGTATTTGTTACAGTCAAAGAAGTCTGGAGAATAATTAGTTTCATCCTAAAGTAGGTGCCTGTATGTGATCAGAACAACTGCACTCTAGAGTCTGTTGATGTAGTTAAACAGTGGAAATCATTGCTACTGGAACTGGTGAATGGCCATGTTCAAAATTTTTTGCCATGTTCAAAAATAATTTACACAGAGAAAAAAACTAATTAGAATTTTAAATTTCAGCTGCCTGAAGTGAATTTAGTCCTACCTATCCTCAGAAAAATATACATGTATGTGTTATATTTCAGATTGTCTCTGAAATCTTTTGTTCCATAAACATATTTTCTTTTAAAGATGCTGCTTGGTCACCGTGGGGTTGGTCTTGAAGAAAAGTGCTAGAGCAGGAGAGCAGTCCTGATGGAAGAGGTTTCACTCTATGGATCCCAGTGACACAGAAAAATATTTCATCTGGTAACTATGATGTTCAACTCAGTAAACATTCTTTCAAATCACAGTCCAAGGCTATAGCTGTGCTGGTAAACAAATGAGGCCACCCACCATGTTCAATTGTTAGCACGCTCCCTGGCATGGTTTTGGTCTAACTGCATCTTTCCATGTCCAAGCAGTTTGAGAAATAACACAGACCAGAGACTGTGGAAAGGGAATTAGGCATTTTGGATGTACCTACTCTGTTTCTGAGGGTGAAAGAGTTTAGCTGATGAATGGTGCCAGCTCACCAGTTCCAAAGGACAGCCATAGCCTGTTTTATTTCCTAAGACAGACACAGCTGCAGCATCCAGGGCTGTCTGTGTGACTGGGCAAACTGCTGCTGCAGGAAATGCTGTATGTGCAGGGTGGCTTTCCTGTTCAAGCTGTGAAGATACATGAGTTGGAAATTAGGAGGTGCTTTCTACCCATAACAGAAATGAGAACTTGAATAGCCAGTAGTAGGAAAGAAAAAAAATGCTTTTCTATCATTTAGCATGGAAGAGACTATTTGAAATATTTTAACAGTGCGCTCCATCTTTTGTGAGGTCGCTAAGCATTTCCATGTTCTCTAGTTGAACACAACAAAGGTGAAGAGGGATTTTGGTTTCTCTCTGAAAATATGTCAGGGCAAACACCAACAGAAGCTAAACCAAATGGATGCAAAATGGCTTTTTTTTATTATTATTATTTTCTTTAAAAGCTCTTTGTCATCAGGAGGGTGGAGATTTTGAATGACTTCAGAGAGAGCACTAGAATCAGGAAAAATCATAACTCCTTTCAAGATGCTGTTAGATACATTTAGAGCAAAGATGTGACTTTATTGCTTATGTCGAAGAAGAATGTGAAGGGCCCTGAATTCTCTGTGGCTGTGCCTACACCAGTGAGTTAAGCAGGCCCAAGCAGTTCTCAGATGGTGAGGCCAACTGGCCCAGAAGGCCCCACAGCCATAGAGCTCTGTTCAAAATCTGGAGTTTGTATGTAGACTACCTGTTGGGAAAGGTCTAATTGCAGGACACGCATGGGAGATGGCAAGCTAGCCTCTGCCCAAAACCATGGGAAGGACTGTTCTAACAATTTCACAGTATTGATGATCAAGTTCTAGTGCCTGTGACCATGTTTAATTTACTAGTGCAGATGCCACCTTTTATTCTTCCTACTTCAGTTCCTGTGTTGATTATACCCCCTGCACTAACTCTATTTAATTCTGCTTCATAACAGAGAAAACAAAACTGTGCCAACAGCTACTGCAGAAAGAATCAGGTAGAAGGTTATGACATTTCCATGACATACTGTGTTTCTTTCTTTCAGTTCTGTGCTTTGCTTCTGACAAAAACATTATTTCAAGTCCCTGAGTGGGCTGGTACGAAGGAAACTGTGCTGGCTCAGAGTTCTTAGTAATTTCAGCATATCATAGCCATCCCCAAGGAGTCACTGGAGTTCAGAGACCAAACCCTTTCCAATCCTGTTGCTCCTTCTTCAAATAAAGATATCTTCAGAAACTCAAACCCACATCTGGTCTTATGTTTGCTTTCCTGCAAGTTTCTCTGCTGTTTTCCTTGCTCTTCCTGTTTGCCTAATCATCTTCCATTGAAAAAGGAGAAGAAACCCTTACGAAGTATTTCCTTGCTCTAAGGCTGGCATAGCAATAATGTTGTAGGTAATGCAGTCAATGCTGCTGTTAATTCTGCTGCCTCAGCTGTTTCTAGCCAGGAAGGAGTCACTCAAGTTTTTCACTAGAGAACAAACCATGAGAGAAACTAATCAAAAACAATTGACCAGATCTTTGTTATTTGTGTTTTTTTAAATATTGATAGTGATGTGTCATTAGAAAGAATGGAAATTTGTACTGTTTTAGCTGGCCCAGCATGGGTTTACACCCCAAGCTGACGTGAAGGATCCTGTGGCACATGTAGGGTAGATTGCAGCTTGACTTTACAATTTCTTTTTCTATAAAGGGGACAAGAAAGAGGATGTTAGCTGTGACTCTGCATTGCACCTCTTCACCATAGCTGTTGTCCAATGCCTTTACCTGCAGCCTCAGCCACTCACTGTGCTGGCATGCCCTAAAGCATTCAGATAAACTTCTTACCTGTACCACTGTCACTAGGCCAATCCCCAGACTCTCCTATTTTCATCAAAATCATTGATTCATGTACTCACAGACTCCATTTGGAAAGTCAGGTTTCAATTTAATAAATGCGAAGCATTTTAATGAAAATATTGATGGCAAATACAAAGATTTTTGAAAGGGGGAAAGTCTCTTTTGAAGCTTGTGAAATAAAGCCATGGATATATTAGCCAGTTCTAATTAGCTCATTTTGTAATTGTAAAGTCTAGAAGCCTTGTACATACTAGGTCATGGCTTTAGCAGTACATGATATGTATGATCCATCCACTGTTTTACATAATTGAGATCATGATCTCTTCCTGCAGAGTGGGAAGAAAAATGGTGCAGCACCTGTCAGCTCTAGAGACAAAGTGAAGACTGTGTAGGATGCTGGTTTCGGTCAGGATGAAACTATGTCCTGCAAGGGAGGGGCCCCAGAGCTCCTGCAACCAGCTGAGCCAAGATAAAAGCTGTTAATGCTAAGGCAGCTTCACAAGGAAATAGTAGCAGAGCTGTAAGTATCTATTTACACTACTGATAAAAGAATACCTAGAAGGTGCTTCCAATTACAAAATAATAGCTATACCTTAGGGATGAATAAACTCCAAAGCCAAGTGAGAGGTGTTCATTGGCTCAGAGTTCTGTTATCATTATGTTTGCAACTAATGAAAGGGGAGTGAGACTTCTCAAGCTTCCTGCTGAGACAAAAAAGCAAAGGGGGGAGGAGGAATTAAAACCAGGGCCTGACTTGGGTCAAAACAAATTTAAATGTGCTAGTTTTTAGAGTAAAACAAAGAGCTTGTAGTTTAGTGCAAATGAAGCAGAAACTAGATTTAAAGTCATGTTTACCATCCCTTCTAGACTAGCATCCTTACCATGAGACAGTCACTCTAAAGTGGGCCACTTTCAGTCCCTCTGCCTGGCACAGTCTTAATGTGTGGAAAATATATGAGCAGTCATTTCAACAAAGGACGTGAATGTTTCTCAGCCTGGAGCACTCCTCAAGGATGGAAGATATCTGAAGCTCAGTCCAGATTTAATTATTAATGCTAAATGGAACAGCAGCAACAGGATTGTAGGCACCCCAGAATATTCAATGGCATGGCAGTTAGCAATGAAGAACTAAGAAAGAAGTCATGGAGGGGGCTTGAATCCCCTCAAGCAGACACTGAACCTGCGTTTTTCATGCTGAGAGTGAATGTTCAAAGAGAGACAGCCCCTTCCCCCAGCTCCGTGATGGGAATACAGTGACATCACTCTTCCTTTGCTCTCCCTAGGCAGCATCGTTCAAACGAATTCAGATCAAACCTATGAAGTTTTTGAATGAATGAGACTGTATTTGTTTTTTCCAGTGAATTTACTATTTACTGGAAAATACATCATCCATTCCTACTCTTGGTTGATGGAAATTGTTTAGTGCATCAATAACCACAAATTATCACTAAAAGAAACAGTTTCTGTAGGCATCTTGTCTCTTGGTCAGAAAATAAAGCACATGACAATTACTTCTGAGCAGGTCTCTGAAATTGCAGTTTTCTGTGCTAGCCCATCTGGCACTGAATGATAATGCTGGCATTCACCTCCCTGCATCAGCTTTGTCATAGCAGAACAGTAAAATAAACACAAAGCTGGTGATCTGAACCACGTACTCCATGCAAGCCACAAACTGAATGTCTCATTAGGTGCTGAACGTATCATAATTCAAAAATAGGCATGAAACAGGTTGTGGTGGAGGCTGAGAAGCTGTTTTGCCAGCAGAAGTTAGAACAGGTCTGCTGATACAGTGGCAGGTAAATAATAAACAGTTACAAGTTTCTAACATATAAAGCCTTCAACTGTTGCTCTTGCAATTACAGTATTATTAGAATTGCAATCAAATACCCATCCAGAACAGTTACCTTCCTCGTCCCTTCTAGTTTCCTTCTTGGAAAAGGGCAAGGGAGACATCAAAATGAAAGAATTGACTTCTCTCAGTATTTTTCTGCGTGAGTGGTCACTACCCATTCTTTCCACTTTATTATGCCTTTTTTTATCACATTGAAAATGAATTATCTTTGGAAGAGACGAGCACAAGGAAACACTGTAAGAGAAATACAACATCCCAGCAAGGAGAAAGTAGATTAACAGTTTCTGAAGTTTCTTTTATAAAAAGAAAAGAAAAAAGAAGGGAACATTCAGTGATACTGAAATGTTACAGAGTAGAAACTGAGAAAGATTTTCACACAAATTGGAACATGGAACTTGTTGCCAAAGTCTTTCACTCAGGCCAAGAGCATAGCAAGATAACAAAAGGAGCTTTACGCAGGTAGCGGTGAACAGCAGCAGTTATAAACAATGAAGTTTTACAGCATGGGCCAGCCTTTTGTACTTCCCCCCCAGTGAATAGGAAACCAGGGCAGGTAGTCACATTTGCTATTCCTCCAGAAGAGCTTGATGGTTTTGACTTTCAGGGACGGGATGTTGGCACAAGCAGAACTGTGAGCTCAGAGCATGGGTCTGTGTGTTGCTTTCTGTAACACCAGTTTTTGAGATGTTTGAAACTGACAAATGCAAGTAAGTTTATTGCACAAAGTCATCACTTCTAGACACAAACCTGCTAAATTCCCAAGGAAATATCCTTTATAGACTCCAGGTTAGCCAACTTGTGTTGTTCTCTCTTGTTCCCTCATTTATTCCGGAGAAGCACAAGAAAGCTAAATGGTTTCCATTTGCTGTGACAAAATCAAACTTCACATAATTTTGATGGTTTGAAAAGTGAGCAGGATGATTCATGGTGAATCACAAGATAAAAATTCCTCATAAGTATTTTCAGGAGCTATCAAATAGCCATCAACAAGATAGTATCAGGATTTTGTCCCTGTCTTTTTAAGTTGCATGCTCTATGCTCACCACTTTTTGCCTGCAGTATTACAGACAACAGTCATTTTTAGGTCATGCTTCAGATATGCCTTGGCACCCTGTGTGTGACCAGCAGTGTCACCTGACATGGCAGGAGGGTAGCTGGGTCACCTTTGAGCCCTAAGTCCAAGATGGGTGAATAAAAACACATTTCCACCACTGGAAACCTGAAAAAAAAAAGAAACAAAAGGAATGTGCAACCCATCTCTCTATTTTAAATCCCCTCCTCAAGCAATTATAGATGAATTATGCACTCTTCCCCTCTCCTGTGTATGCACTTTCTAGCTGGCTAGATTTTAGTAATCTATTATTTATTGGCTTGCTTTCTCTTCCCTGCTTTTCCCCTCTCACAGTCGACTGGGATTTGGCAGGGCTGCTCCTGCTCTCCCATTATGGGTTATTGCCATCTGCTGGAAAATCAAACTGGACTGCCCAGGAAACTCATCCCAGTTCCTGGAAGTCATCAGGCCCCTTAAACTAGGTGGCTGAGCTGTGCACTGGGGCTCGCTGCAGCTCAAGTTGCATCTTTGGAGGCATTGGGGGAACCCCAAAACCACCCACCATGCAGCAGCAACAGGATTATTGCATAGAACTATGCTGTCATGCCATTGGTAGGCTTCCTTTTACATACAGATGTTTTCAGGTCATTGTATTAGATATGCAGGAAGACATTCTTCTCCCAAGGGTTAATGAATCCCAAACACAAGTGAGGAGGCTCACATTTAAAAATCCCTTAAGCAAGCAGATGTTTTAGGAGCAGTAAGACCTTCAGCATCTTGAAAAACAAAACCCACTCTGGAAACAGGGATTCACTCTGATTTCAGGAACTCCTGAGCCTTTCTGCGGCCTCTGACGAACTACTTAACAGTCCTGCTGGGTCAAATGTGGGGGAAAAAACTCCTATGGTACTTTGTAGGATCCCAGGCAGATGACTATCAATATGCTCTTATAAAAGAAGCTTTGATGCTTTTGTATCATGTGTCATGTTTAAGCTCAACTGCTATCACTACCAAAGGAAAAATAATTAATCTTTTAATGGGAGATGAAATGACAGTTCCAGTTTGCTGTGGTACTTTTTATTCCTGACTATACACTGCAGTCATTTAACGTTCCCCAGATGGGTGCTTTTATAGAAGTATTCAAATTACTTTTTATAGTTCTAAATATTCTACTTCTTTATTTACAGCTTCAAATAACTTTTTAGTTGGCTTGTCAGATAGCAAAAGGCTAAGTAAGGTACTAAGGGGGGTGATAATCTTGACCAAGGAAAATACAATGTAAAGGGGAGACAGTTACATTTACTAGACAAGCCTATGGTGTATCACAAAGATGTAGTTCATATTATAGACATAATTGCAAAATAATTCCAAATAACACCCTAAAGGAGGGTGTATCTGAGAATCCAAACACTCGTTCTGGGACATTTTTTAATTAAAATCACATGTTTAAATATTTTCATTTTAGTAATCTGAACATTTGGCTTGGTGTGAGCACTAGGAAGTTTAGCAAAATTACTAGACCAGTGCTCAGATGAACTTCTTAGGCTGAGAAAACCTGACAGTTATTTGTCTCCAGACAAATTGTCTGACAAGATGATGTGCTGATGACTATTTTCTGTAAATTCTGCGATTTTTCATTCTGTGATTGAACGGAAAGGGAAAGACAAATGACCTTGTTAAAATCAGTGCTCCCCAAAGTAAAAGAAGCCTTTGATTTGGTCAAGATCTTCCCTTGTTATCTGGCACTGACATGTGAAGGCTGTTGAAACTGATGTTTCAACATCGATTTTTGAGCAGCAGAAAGAGAAACAGGAAAAGGATCTGTGGAGGCTGCAGGGCCTTCTCACACCGGGCTTTTGTCACATGCATTTCTTCCACAGATCCATTCTTGTTAATTAAATTTAATCTTGTTAATAATAAATTTCTTATTATTATGATCTAATTATCCAGCTGTGTGCTGGGGAATATATAATGAGGAAAATGTAGTACTCAGGTTTGCTCACATTCACAATCTATACTGCTGTGAACAAGTAATAGATCTAACACATTAAAAATATGGCTTCTGTGCTGGAGAATTGATACTAGATAAAAGAAAAAAGTGGTACAGGGAGAGAAGAAGATGCTGTGGGAAGTGAGCAGCCTTGCTGCTGCAACCATAGTGTGTGACAAAGAAACTCATGGCAAAGTGCTGGAGCTGTGGGAGGGCACTACACTTCCTCACTGTCCTCTTCAAGGAATCTATGGCTTTAGGACCACAGAAAATACTGCAGTTGAATGTCAGTGTTGGTCATACTGCTTGATTTGGGGGATGCTTCACTGGAGTGTTTTATTGGCTTTT